ACCTGAAGTTTCCAAATAAGTGGAAAAAGACTAAAATAACTTCAGAGTTCATGATTATCAAAGCAGAGCACACTGATTCGTTTTCTATACACATCCCAAATGAATTTACGAATGGGTGATATCCATTTACTAGATTTCGCTAAAATGATCACACCCAGTCTAGTATATAATATAAGATCAATTATTGTAATAATCATAAGCTTTTGGCTTCATGCATAAAAGGGATAAGGTTTTGTCAAAATATTTACCAGACTTTGCAGAATTTTCTTCTTTACAGAAAGAGTTCACTTGATAGTCTCCGAGGCCGGATAGAGGCTGTAAAAAATATCTTTTAAAGTCAAAAGTCATTTAATTGAATGATAACGTGCTGTTCATAAGACATTTTTCAGTTTGTTCTGTTTAGTTCAGATGAACAATCGACATCTTACTGAGTTATGCTCAGAAATGATTATGATGTTCTGGAGTACAAAATCTCTTTTTATAATGTCTGCTACTTAAGAAAAACATTTTAGCTAGAGTCCTTGATGCTTGTCAGTCTGTTCTTATAGATCTCAAACATATCAGTATAAATATACTTGGCAGGAAGATGGATAGAGCTACATTTGTGAATCGTCATTTTGGCTTGTTCAGATAAGAGTATAGTAGTGGAATGCGTTGATTAATCTTTCAACAAATATATAGGAATTGCCTAGATGTACAAATGCCTTACTGTTTCTTTTCATATACTAATATGACAGCAGTTTTCCTAACTCAGCTTCATTTCGAATGGTCTACATATGCCCTATACATGATTTCCTGTAACATAAATGCATTTGCATCCACCAGGGCTAAGTTGCCCTATAGACTGGTCACTTTTCCGTCCACCAATGGTGCATCCAAATAGTATTTCTCAACTTACCTGGTAGGTTGGGCATTTATTTCTATACCAATCAGCTCCTCCGTAGTAGCGTGCATCTCCCCCTGCAAATGAATCCTTAGTAAAGAACTGATCCATTTTTGGAAGCTCATCTGCGTATTTTGCCACAACACAACTGCCATATGATTGTGAATCTCTGCAAACTATGTGCTGTATGTTGTCGCAATATGGAAGAATACTTTTATTTCTGAAAGGCAAAATTGTGAAGTCTGTTCTTTAAAGCTGAATTGATTTCACCATCAAATAGCTGAAAGCGATTTACCAACTAAAATATTGCACACCAATATCAGAACCCATTCATTGGCTTTTCCGAATTTTCTCATCATGCATAGAAGTGCAGTTTTTACTGAATTACGCTCAAATCGCTTTATCTAAACGAAGTTTGTGGAATTTTATGCACGATGGGTTGGCCTGATGATATTTTTTACATGCATTTTTCGCGCAACACTCTTGCATCATCTTGGAAAAGACTGTATTCACCTACATCGAAGATACCAGTCGATTCAACCGCCATGCAACTAGAGGCTCATCGAATACATTGCAAAACTGTAAAATATGAAAAGCCTTATGTGACAGAAAATGAAAGTTGTACTCAAAGAGTGAATGCAGTCATATTACTATGACGTTAGCGTACTTCCAGTTGGCTAACTTTATATGAATGATGCTAAAATTATTGTGTCCCACAACTTTTCACATCTTGTAGTATCCGATTAGGTGGGTTACGCGTTATATTATTCGTACGTGAATTTTCGATTGTTTTCCAAGCTCAGCAACAAGTGATGAACGAATGAAATTCGCTTAACATCCTCCTGGAAAGAGAAAGTTCACCCTTCATCGTAATGGACAAGAGTGAAGTAGTAATATGACATATGAAACTGGAATATGCCTCTTTTAGTCTTACTACCAAGTTTGATGTAGAGAAATTATGAACGATTGTTACTTCACAGAATACTTCAATAGAAATATATTTTTAGTGAATGTTTATACACAATGATTTTATTTAGTTTTGGCAATATTTGAGCTAAATTACTGCCCGTGATCACATCAGTTGTTGGATTTATTTGTTCAAACATTTACGGATAGAGTTTATATATATCGTATTTTTATTTTGTAGGTTTTTCATTGTTTTTCTCCAGTACTATATTCGAAAACTAAACAACATTGCTGTGTGTAAACATCCATTAAAAATATATTTCTAACGAATTGATTTTTTCCACAATGCACAAATTTTTCATGGATATAATCAATACTTCAATAGATTTCTGTTATTTGCTACAGAAAACATGTCGTCGTACAATATTGTATTGAATGGCACAATGATAAGTCGGTTATAACGTGCAATAGAGAACATCTAAGCCAGGACAAACTACTAAAATTGGTTAAAGTGACTGAAGAAATAACAACTTCAAGTTTTATGGTTACTTTGGGTTACTGAGAAAGCTGTATTGAGGAAACATTTTAAATCTACTGGTGTATGGATTCAGATTGTCACGAAGTTCTTGTTAAGTCAGGGGAAAATTCCATGAGAAATAAATCATTGTATAAAGACCAAATTTCGGGAAAAGCGTTTAAACCTAGAATATATTAAGATTTTCACTACAGTGCTACGTTTGAAAGATGTTACGGCTGAAGAATGGATTCTTATTGAAAATTGTTTAACTACAATTGTGGCTGGAAGAGCGAGCTCACTATCCGTCGTCTTCCGTTCGCCTTCTTATACAAATACCTGAAACAAAAGTGGAAGGCTTTATTTAATACATCAGTCGGAAACTGCAGAGATACCCGATTCATGATCCAATCGTGTGACAACCAGGTGTATGTTGTGATCACTAGAAAAATACTAATCTGACATTCCAACTTTTGCATTCAATGCTCGGTTGTTTGATACTCCAGTATTTATAGGTTTCTACTTCCTGTGTCAGTAGGTTCAAAGAAACACTGGTCGATTTTTGAGTATATAAGCAACCATGTGGATGATACTGATTCTTGCTGACACCTACAGTTTTATTACCTCTTTGTGTGCATATCATTTCTGTAGGCCCAATAGAAGCCTAATAAATTGGTATTATGTCATCAATAATCAGCAGAAAAAGGATTACCATTTTGCAGATGATTTATAAATTACACGGTCCACGTTGACGTTTACTACATCTGAGTGTATTTTGAACTGCTAGACAGGGTTTTCGTCACAACCACCTATCAGCCAAGACCACAAGGCGTTATGAACTAACGGAATTTCACTGTGCGCAGTGGAACCTGTTAACCATTTTCGAATTGGTTGTTCTGTTTTAGGCACACTGGTTTACGCAAGTCAGCTAGCCATATTTAGTCAATATGTATAGTTCGATTCTGGGAGCTGAATTCATATTATTTTATTTCAATGAAACTTTACGGTAGGAAAACTGATGCAGTTAGTTTAGCTCAAATCTTGGGCTACCAAAGCATTTTCTACCAACTATATCCCATCAAATTCTTTCCCTTCAGTTTGTTTTAATCTTTCAAATGTCTTCTAAGGGCATCATTTACTCTTGCATGTTTTTAAAATGTTTTCAGACTTTCGTTTCCCAGGCTAAGAACAAAACAAAGAAAAAGCGTTCTACCGGTTGGAAAGGGATTTATAAATGCTCAAAAATACACCACATTGCTATTCCTAAGATACCTGTATGGGATTGTGAATTCTTGTGCTGGCTAACTGAACTGCTACCATCAAAATTATATCCAATTCTATGTTCATTTCCAAACGTAGAACAGATGCTAAAGTAACGCTAGCTACCTGCTTCACGCTTATTTCTTCGATGCTGTTATTATTAACACTATGCAGATATCATAATTATTCTTTTTGAAAACGAATGTGTTCAAATATTCCGAGCTGAAAATTCTGTACTGTATAATACATGCTGTCTGAAATAAAGTGAATATTATTATATATATCTTTAAATTAGAAATTATGTTTCTTTATGTCATTTTCCCCACTTAGTACATTTTTCTTAACATCTAATAAAACAAAGTTACTCAATCTCATTTTCTATATAAATGTTGCCACTGTTATTGTTAGTGCGGAGATATAACGTACATCTGATTACCTAGTGTTCCGTTCTGGTGGGCTTCTGTCCGGTGCATATATTAATTGATTGCCTCGGAATCTCACAGGGAGACTTATCTCAATTCTAGAATTCCGTCAATCCAGTGAGTTAATGAAATGTACTTAGAACAGTTGCACAAAAAATCGTTTTCTATTTCTATTTTAGAGTCTACTGAAATCTGTGGCGCATCAGAATAAAATACAACTCACAAGCAACCAATCATTTTTATAACTTTTTTCCTTGTAATCGCAATTTTGCTTCTAACTATTCATACTTATAGACTTTCGAGTCATTATGTACTTGTAATTAGCTTTTTCATTTCGCTTTATTAAAAATGTTTTGTTCCACCTTTTGATTTGTTAAAGCCAGAATCCAGTCAAGTCATCTACTACAGTGAAAAAAGAATGAGTAAGCTGACTCATCTTGCTGGTAAAATTTACCACACAGTCAAGATCAAAAACTACTAAAAACTATCACCATATAGAAAGAATAGTATGCACAGTTCCATGGTGAAACTAATCACACAGTTACGTTGTATTACTTTCAACGGAAATAACCGGATAACGAAGTTGCTGAAATAAGGGCTTAGAGACAATAGTTTTAATTTCAGACGTAGTGCTGTTTTTTTTCCTTCAAGCTTGTTGATGTTTCACTTTGTTGGGTGCAGGCAAACAGAGATCTAGGTCGGCTGCTCATTAACATTTTTGTAAAATAAGTCGTGCTTATCCTATTAGCCCAAGTAGACACAGGCTGTAATATCAAATGAAAAAAAGTAAAATACACTAACATCCAAAGTGCCTTATTATGCGCAGACAGATACATATATATTTTCACTCCACAAAAACTTTAATGCGGTTTCTTTCTGCTTTGGAAAAACCACAATCGCCTATGTCTTTGTTTAAAAGAAAAGTCAAAACACAAAATATCATTTGCAAACAAACAAAACAGTTCTTATTGGCTAAGTAATTTTCGAACACTGGGGGAAATGAAAACATATGCATACAAATACTTGTACCTAGAAGAAAATCAGAATAAACTCGACAAGAATTCAAGTGATTTTTTGGGATAGTTAGTTACTTATCTGTGGAATAACTTATTTTCACGCTTGCATCCATCTTCGTTCTATTCAGCTAAATGAATTTAACATACGTAAAATAAACAAACTAATAACGTAAGCATAAAAACAGCTTACTTTACTCCTCAGTTCAATAAAATACCAGCTGAATATTTAGCAAACGCACAAATTTCATTTTTGCATTAGTTGTAGAGTCGCATCTTCGACGATGAATAAATATTCATCTTTCCATCTTTCACCCTAAAATAAGCAAATATATAGTTCTGGCGGAATCATTCAAATTACATCATAATCAGTTACAAGACACATCTGGTTTCAGTGATTATTTTGAATTTATTGTACTGTAAAAACATAGTAATTATAAAAGTCTTTGTAACTTAACTTTATCTTTTGTCGTTTCATGAAAACCTTATCTTTTCTTGGATCTTGTTTACCGGTAAACTACATAATTCTTCTCTAACTCAATATTTCTTTTGTAACATCTGCAGTGTATCTTAGTTAATTTATTTTATTTTTTTTACGAAAAATTTAAATCTGAATCTTTTTTCATTCTTCAAACAGTATCTGGACAAATAAAAATATTTAATTATAAGTAGGAACTGCATTAGACAGAATCTGCAACAGCGTTTCTGGATAAATAAACGTACACAGACATATGCAATTAGATCAAACGTCGTGAAGTAACATACCCACTAATTCTCTCTTATTACTCAGATAAATTACATATTGTGTTAAAAGTGTCTTTGGTTAAGTATATACACCGAGCAAAGCACGAATATTAAAAATTACTTGGACAATAAAGTATTTCCCATTCATGCATAAAAAAATAGTGATAAATACAAAAAACATATTTTTTCTGCAAATACAAATAAATATATCTAGTCAAAAACACTAAAATTAAAGGGCACTTAACATGCGTCTATTTGTTTCATGACTCTATAACTTTAACAAATTAATTCATCACTTTATCGCAATTCAATGGAATATAAATTCATTACCATTTATTTAAAAATTCTTTCAACCTTTTTAATTCATTATTTCTTCATTTGTTTTGGATGTAATTTACTCATATCATGTGGAATAATCGTATCATTCAGTAGCGTCACTTCAGGAAATTGGTAAGTTATACTGTATCAATATGTAATGAGTTTAGTTTAACTTATATTACCCAATTGATTGCACTTAGTAAAGTAGTATGTAATAGAAATTTTGTTAAGGATGCGAAAACTGAAAATGGAGAAGGAAATGTTCTGTAATTGCTGTTTTTAAGTTTTGTCCTGATGTTTTGTATTATAAACGTAGTAGGCACTTTCCTAGTTCAAATGTAACTCATTTAATAGATTTGTAAGTGCAGGAAATAGATTATATTGAGTTTACATTCTACACAGTGTCACCAAATTGAAGTTGACTGTAGAAGGTTCTTGGGTTTTTATTTCAAGTTGCTTAAGCACTTCACAGCTAACTTGGAAGAGCTCATGCATTACATGTTAATTACTTAGTTATCCATTCTACTTTTAAACAATTCACTTGAAAAACTGTCTCATGAATACAAGTTGTTTATTATTTAGCTAAAAAAGTGCATCTGTCAGTTTTTAAAAGAGGACAAATCTATTTTAAATCAAGAAATTCATGTTTATATGTTGTAATCATTCGAAAGATAATCAATAATCAACAATTGTATCTTCTGATTTGTTTAATTTACTGCCAAAAGACACTTTTCAGGGGATTGATATCAGTCACTGTTCAAAATTAAGTCACATAAAAGAGATATGAGTATTACACAAGCGGATATTAGTCTGATGAGCATCGTTATTATGCACACACACTGACAAGGATAATTAGTGTTCTGAACTTGAAATTGCACTCCTTTCGATATCTTTAATTTTTGTTTTAGGCTTGTTTGTGCTCCAACGTTAAAATAATTCTCAATACATGTAAAGTATTGTAGTCATTTTTCTTTGTTCGGGCTGAAAAATCTAACCAAATTACTACACTTCTGTTTCTGTATTCTGACAACCAACTCCAAGAGGAATCTAGCTAACTTCAAGTGAAAAACATGCACTCACTTATGGACTTTAATGCAATCAACTACCATAAGTAGTTTGTTAAATATAAACGGCGCTTGTATTTTTGAAGAATTTTATCTGTGATTAAATCCAAATATTTTCACATTTAATGAATGTATAATAAAAATACATTTGTTTTACTGTAAACCTCGTTCACTACTTTAGTCGGACTTACGTTCAAAGCCTTTTCCACAAAAAATTTATATGGTGGATTATATGACGTTATTTGACCAAGTGAATGTTGAAAAGAAAACATTGACAGTCTTTCTCAGCATAATACGCATACAACTAAAGTGGTTCGCATTGAATCCCTTAACGTAGAGGTGGAATTGAGTTTTATAGATAAGATAGCTGTTAGTCATGCACGTGCACAGTATGTACTGACAGTAAAACGACAGGAGAAAAGGAGGAAGAAATTAGTAGGACCAAAATTGTTGTCACTGAAAAGCCTAGGAAATGACGGTGGTATCATAACTGCCAAACCGGATAAGGGCAACTCAGTAGTAGGTATGTATGAGGCAGGTCACTTAAAAAGGTCGGTGAACATACTGAAACAGGATCATATCAAGAAAACTTACAGACACAGTTGTGAATAAGATCGAAAATGTCCACAGCTGATCTAATGCGACAAATGAAGCTACCTCTGGGTGAGTCTTACTCGTTGCTGAAAATCCAGGCTAAACAATTCATTTGAATTGAAATAGACTAAATAATATGCGACTAGAGGATGGAGAAAAGATGGTCGGTTTTAATGTAATGAGCCGCTACACAAATATATTAATTTATATGGCACCTGAGACAATCAGAACTAGATTTTGTAACTGACCGTGTTGTCGGCAATAGAACTATAGTTTACAGGGATTATACTAAGGATAATGTTATTATATTCTCTGAGACCACCTACCTGAGCTACAAATATTCTCCACCATTTAGGTTAGATTATGTTTAAATTCCACTATTTTCAAATTTCAGGACAAAACAGAAGGAGTAGCGGTGGCATCTCCCATATTCCTGATCGTAGCAGACATATTTATGGATTGTTGGGGGCAGATGGTATTAGGTCCATTTCAATCTACCCCAAAATTATGGTGGTGATATGTAGACGACAAATTTATTCTGTCGAGATCAGATCACCTCCAGAGTTTTTCACTGGCACTAACTTGATATTATATTAAACCCAATTCACTAGTGAATTAGAGGATGAAGAATGAGAATTAAATATGGTGGAATGCGAAATCTAGAGGGAAGAGTATGCAAGCTTACATTCTAGTGGTTATAGGAAACCAATACCATATAGTAATTCAGATGTCGTGTCTAGGTCAAAACAGCTGATCGGTGTCAGTCAGAATAGTAGAGCAAAAACGTTGACGAAATTTGTAATTGCAGACCCTACTAAGATAAAAAGTTGGGGGAAAAGTTTGGCTATCGCTCTTCATGCACTGGCCTATAATCATGCTATAGGTTGGGTTACAGTGACAGTTCTAACATGCAATATAACTAGGTGGAGGAAAAGATTGATCACAGGAACTTTGTTCATTAGATCAACACTTGGCTCATGTAATAACAATGATTCACCACATATTGCAGATTTCTGGAAGACTGTAATGCATTTATTCTGAAAGAATGAAGGACTATTGAAAGATACAATTTAAGTTTGAAAATCTTGTGATTACTTTAACATGGAGATGTGTAAAAAATTCTGCTGGAAATGCCATCCAGTCAGTAGTACTGTATCACTGTGAGCTATATTAAATGAACAATCTAATATGATCTACCACAGTGTCAAAGTTTTACTCCTATATTAAATTACTACCACTTCAACTGTAAAATAAATGTAATTTACGTTTAGCTTTATCACACTGAGAAGATACATTCCAAATTCACTAAAAACCTTAGTGTTTATAATGAATGAATGTAAGATATCACTCTAATAATAAAGTGGTTTATTAATTACAACGATTTATAAGTACAACGTGTTGAATTTTTAGCACGTAATACCACTATGCCTGCTTAGAGGGGGTTTATGGCTAATGAGTGGAATTGTGGTATACAGACACTTTTGTCAGTATAAAGGTTAACAAAGAAATTATCACATACAGTTTATGCTAGGTAAAGAACGATTACGTTTTAAGTTTAAGCCTGGTAGATTTAATTTTTGTATATGCGTATTTCGTATCGTATCTATGAAGCGATATGTCACGTAGATGACCAAATAGTTGCAAGCAGCTGTGCACTTGAATTCATATGCTAATGTTATACATTACACTACTTTATGAATTCATAACTGTTGTTGCTGAAACTGTACCTCAATTGGAAACGTCAAATATGAATTTAAATGAGTGATTGGTCATGCAAAAAGAATTAAATCGGTAAAATTATGAAATTTAGAATAAAGCATTGTTCTATTTTTCTTCAGCGGACACCATAGAGCGCCTTTTTAAATAGTTATCCGATTGCTTAAGGTTTCCGCAACCTCTATTGTTGAAAAACATTTATTTCAGCCATTTTTAAATCATTTATATTTATCTTTTTTAAATTTGTGTGCATTTAACGGCCGTTGTTTTTATGGTAAATGCTTTAGCATTCATAAAGCCGGAGCGCACATATTTTCTCACTAGGTTACATGTTTGGTTTCCTTTTGGCAAACTCCAATCTATGTTTTATAAGAAAAGTGTACTCAAATCTAATGCTATGGTTTATTCAGTTACTATAGAATATGTAAATGTTTCGATTGCGAAGTATCAGGTAAGTAATGCAAGTTATTAAATTCCTAAAACACGAACAGTTACTCATTAGATTTACGGATTGTCAGTTTAAGGTAGTGGAATAATTCAACTGTCTTCTTGAATTTGTAGGTTTAAATAACGAGAGGCAAATAATTCGCTCTGAATATTTTTGTATACTTACTGGGTTGTGAATAAAATGCAAAACTCTCAAAATGTATTGCTTCGTAGAACGGTTAAATTTCTTGTTCCGTGAGCTATTTTCTTCTAAGGATTCGGAATAAGTTGGAAACAAAGACTACTACTCATCAAAGTTTTCTCAATGACTTGTAATCATTGTTCAGTTCTACCCAGTTTCCCCATGCCACAGTAATGGCAACCATTCATACCTTTAATGTCTTGTCACTTTAACTATGTAAATAGGTTGAATATACTGACGAAGTATTTATGTATCAAAGTTGTTACACATATTCATCATTTTTTGAATAAGCAGTATTCTGCAGCAAATCAGAAATTGCAAAACGACACGTACACATGAAAATAACGAAACTGTGTGAACAGGGATTCAGGTCATTTTTTCACTACTGAAAATATAACAATATAATATGTTTCACAAAGAAAAGTTGGGTGAAAAAGTGAAAGGGAAGAGAAAATTGCAATGGCTCCCAATTCTGAAGGTAGGAAAACAAGCAGAAATGTATAAATGCATGCAGTTTTGCACGTAGTAGTGAAAACAAGAACCTCAGTTTGTTCATCTGAACCTTGAATATGGTTCATAATTAAGCGATTATTATCTATTCATTATTACTATGGCCAGAAGGCTTTGTGCACCAATAAATAATAGGATGTAACCATCTTTGGGATCATATATTGACGGCGGCAATGCAGTGAATTTAGATCTGTGAGCAGTTAACCACTTCATAACATTTATCTTTGACGATGAGTAAGATTTATATAACATGCTTTCCAATGACAGCATTTCTATAGGGAATTTTTCATTAGGCTATGCTGATTTTAAAAGTTTAAACGCTATTTTTCTTTATCAGTACTTGAAAGAACATTCCAAAACCTGGAAAAAAACAGTGCTCAGCTTCTTTTTGTAGTGAAAAGTTTTTGTACAGGCCTTAAAGTCTATCGGTGTCCTAATTGCTTTACCCATTAAGGTTTTTTGAATAAAGTAACTGTTTTGAAAGCCTCTTCAACCTGCGACTTGTGGAAAGTGACTAAACTACATGTCGTTTGAATAAAAAGTGTTTTCAACTGTAACGGTCAAGTGATAATTTGTATATTTGGTAATTAAAGACTGAGGATTTTCCAACAGTTTTCATA